GGTAGAGATCGGGGAAGACGAGCTCAAAAAGCTTGAATATTTGTCTTTGGTGTCTAAAGTTTGTACCGAGCTTGACAACCATTTAGGAATCAACGATAAGGACCTTGGTAAGTTTATACATTTGACTTGATCGCGTGTCACGTTGTTGGTAGGAGTTTCGTAAATAGCTGGTTAGCCTGTTTCTTGTTTAGTAACGTTATTTACAGATGTAAAGGACAGAGGCACAATTTGTGTGTGTATGGAAGTCTGTAGTAACAGTTTGTTGGTTTATGTGTTTTTCAGCTGAGTTTGTTATCAGTCTTGCTCAGAAAAACCCAAGCATTGATGAATTTAAGACAGTGCTGGCTAAAAATGGAGCCGATTTCACAGTAAATATTTTTAAAATCTCTTCTGTCAAAAATGTGTTCCTTCAATTTTGTGTGTTGTGATTTTACATTTGGAGTTTTAGAATATCTAACCCACCGTGTCATTTAGGATTCACTCGTCAGCAATTTGCTTCGTCTCATTCAAACCATGCGTCCTCCTGCAAAAGCATCTTCTAGTAAAGGTAAGAGCATTGGTGGTCTTATACAATAGCAGTCCGTTTTGATTCTAACATCTTCAGGCCAAGCGTCTGCATTTTTTCATATCTCCTGATGGGACTTTTCTTATGTGATCTTTATTGCACAGCCTCTCATGCTGTGGCTAAGTCGAAGAGTGAAAAGGACAAGCTGAAAGAGCTGTTTCCAGCTCTGTGCAGACCTGACAATCCCAATACTAGGGTAATTCTATATATACATTGTCTATTTAAGTAACTATAATGTGTTTTAATCAACTGTAATCATAAACTGTATATGCTCTTCTAATTAGTCTATGCTGGATGAGAATGATGTGAAAGTTGCTGCTGATGCCATGAAAGAGTTGGAGTTGTTTATGCCCAGTGTTAGTGGTACAGAACCTAGCAGCAGTAAACACAGGTGAGGAACTTCTGTAACATAAAATAGATGCCATTAAACTTGATGCTGCAGTGATTGCCCCACCGCATCATGTTGTTGCATTTTAACGTGTATGTATCATCCATCTTAGGTCTGAAACCAGCAGCGGCAGTAAGAAGAAGCGGAGGAGCAGAAGTCGCAGTCGGAGCAGAGACGGGGATAGAGACAGGCGGAGACGCCATCGCTCTCGCACCCGTTCCAGATCTCGCTCTAATGAGAGAGACAGAAGGAAGCGCAGGAGCCGCTGGCACTCTCGCAGCAGGTCGAGGAGTCCTGCACGGGGAGACAGAGACAAAGGCTCAGACCGCTGGAAGGACAAACATGTGGACCGCCCCCCTCCAGAGGAGCCATCTGTGGGCGATATCTACAATGGCAAAGTCACCAGTATTATGCAGTTTGGCTGCTTTGTGCAGCTGGAAGGACTCAGGTATGTGTTAGAGGCAGTAAATCTACTTTTAAGGCTATTGAAATTGATGTGAGTGTGTATGATATGATATTAAACATTATTTTTCTTTCCTCTTTCTTTCATGAAGGAAACGCTGGGAAGGCTTGGTCCATATTTCTGAGCTCAGGAGAGAAGGTCGGGTAGCAAATGTGGCAGATGTGGTCAGCAAAGGTCAAAGGGTCAAAGTCAAGGTGTTGTCCTTCACTGGATCCAAAACAAGTCTCAGTATGAAGGTGAGTTAGCTGTGTCTTAATGAAAACCATGAGAGAGAACAGACAAAACTGCCAATGGTCTAAAAGTCACCAATTTAGAGAACAGTT